GCCAGGAGTGCCAGAGCTCTTAGGAGCTTGAGGCAGCCTGCCAGAGACTGCTTCAGAACAGGGACTCCAGTAGTACTACCAGAGAAGTTGGACTATTGGCTTTATTTCAAATCGGGATGAAACTGCTTCAAAATACCTAAATCAAGTTAGCCTGCTGCTTCTGCTTCGTTGTACATTCCAGGCTATGGCATGCCTAAGGCATCAGCTAGTGTGCTGTGCATAGGTGGAAATGGTTGGGAAATCTGGTTTAAAACAAACCAAAACTATTATTTTTTTTTTTTAAACTTTTTTGGTTGTTATTCTTTAAGGAAATCTAACCCTGAAGTGAAAGAGTTCATGAAGAAGCAAGGATTTGGCATTGACTACGCTAAACTGGAATCTTACTATATTCAGAAGTATGTTGGTCTTTTAATTCTTGCTCAGCTTTTCAGAGCCACTATCTGAGGGTGGTGTTGAGGTGCAGATACTGAAGCTGATTTAGGTTAGCCTATATTGTTTTCAAAAATTGCCACATATTGGAGACCGCCCACTTTATTTTAATATGCTGAATGTAAAGTTCATAGCTTTAAAATGTGGGACACAACAAGGATACATAGGCTAGTTCTATACACAGTCTGAATGTATTGGGTAGCTTAAACTAGGTATCTGCTGTAATATCGGCACACAGGGTGGGGAGGAAAAGTCCTAAGGTTTTTGCAGCCAGTTACTTGTCTTGTTCTTAAGTAACACAGATTTAGGCACCTGTATGAGTTGCTGATAGTTCTGAACGTCAGCACGTGCCTGTCCTTATGCATGAGAGAACATGCTCTTTGAGGCAGAGCACTGAAGGCCAAAACCAGAAAAACCTGGTTTTCCTTGCTCCCCTCATGCAGTGCTGGGAAAGGCCTGATGTGCCTTAGGGTAGAAAATGTAGCTACTTCATGTGCCTGTACTGATCTTATTGAAGTTCACAAACATGATCTTATTTCTAAATTCTAGGATTTTGGACATTGTTTCCTCCTATAACAAAGGATATGTGGTCTGGCAAGAAGTGTTTGATAACAAAGCACAGGTAAGATGTGAAAATCAGTAAGATACCCTTGTATAATAGCACAATATTGTGGAAGGCTTCCTAAGTAGACTATTAAGTAGTTACAGTTGTGTTTGTGAAGAGTTAAAGCAAGTCTGCTGACTTTAGCAAGTGTCCCCAGGTGTGGGGCTTGCCTTGAAATTTTTATCAAAAATGTAAAATAGGTGGAACAGGAACACCAGCACTGAAGTGCTTTCTAAACATGAACACAGATAATATATTATACTTTAGAGCATCAGAGTAAAGGGTAGGGAAGTTTCTATGAGTTTCAATGTATTTTTTTTTCCTCTCATAACTGTGTGTTTGGTCTAGCAATACCAGGTGCTCAGCTTCTCAGAGCTGGTCAGATAACTGGTCATGTAGGACCTCTCTTACAGCATTAACTGCCTATAGTATAACCTAGGCTTCACTCTAGTGTGAACTGATTAAAACCACCAAAGAGTTAATCAGCTTTAGACAGTGGAGAAAGAAAAATGACAAAAGGTAGCTTCCAAAATTTCCTCTTCAAAACAAAATTCCATTCTCCCAGTTTTGAAATCCATCATCCTTTGTCCTGGTAACAGCAATTAGAATTGTCTTTAATGTTTCTGGGGTGTTTTTTTTTTTGTTTTTCCCCCTTTTAGCTGAAACCAGACACGGTAGTTCAAGTGTGGATGGAAAACAACTATGCTTATGAACTGAGCAGTGTCACTGGAGCTGGGTTCACTGCTATCCTGGCAGCCCCCTGGTACTTAGACTACATTAGTTATGGGCAAGACTGGAAGAAATACTACAGCGTTGAACCGCTTAACTTCCCTGGTTCGTTACTTTTTTTTATATGCATGTTCTGTACATGAAAGTCTTTGGTTCATAGTAAGGTGTAAATGGAAAGAATAAGGCTATTTAGAGTGGTCATGCAGTCACTATGATCAGATGCACTGTAATCAAAGGACTTTAATGTCAGCTAGAACTCTGGAAAATTTTCAGATAAAAAAATGCAACTTTCCCTTTTGCACAGGGAAAAATGTTACTTTCTTCAAGCATCTTGCACTGGTGCTTGTGAGTGACAGGATGCTGAGCTAAGTGGACAGATGTGTCATGCATTAGGGGCAGAGTCATGCAAAATGGCTGTTGGTAGACAGACATTGAATTCCTACGTTAGCAAGCTTCTAGAGTGTTAGGATTCTAGAAAAAGACATGTTCTCTCCCTCTGGCTAAAGTTGATAGAAACATCTTGTGCTTTGCCCAGGGCTTTCATTTTGTGCAAGGTAGCTCTCAAAGCTGATGAGGGAGAACACCTGACTTCTGTAGCTTTTTCAAGGAATGTTCTGTGTGTGATATAACGAACGGTTTCAATTGGGACTGAAATCTCTGAAAAATGTCAGAATGCTGAGGAATATCTTCAGAAGATAAAAGTTAAAATCCTTTCTGACAGAGAAGAGAAATGGGTTCCCTGGGCAAATGGCTTGGTGGTTCTCACATTCAGTAACAAGACTACCAAAATGTTAAGTCAGTGCTCAGGATAGATACTTTATGTGATAACATAAACAACTGAACAGGAATCCTCTGAGTATTGGAAAGTGATATTTTGATATATGCCCATCTTCTGGGCAAATAGAAATTCTAACTTTCTTCTTTGAATTCAGGATCTGAAAAACAGAAAAAGCTTTTAATAGGTGGAGAAGCCTGCCTGTGGGGGGAATTTGTGGATGCAACTAACCTCACACCAAGATTATGGTATGAACTGCTTTATCTTTAGATTTTAGAAAGCCAGCTGCAAGGAGCATTAATTAATCCAACAGGCCTGTATGTTAGTGGTAATAGTGCTCTGTACTGAACATGACCAACTATAAAAATTGATGCTTCTGGATATAAGACCTTGTATTAAAAACTTTAATCCAGTCTTTGTTATAGACTATGCCTACTCTAAAACTCAGTGTATCTTTACAGGCCCCGAGCAAGTGCTGTAGGGGAAAGACTCTGGAGCAGCAGGAACGTGACCAACTTGCAGGATGCCTATAAAAGACTGACTAATCATCGATGCCGCATGCTCCGGTAAGATTAATAGCTATAGTAAAGCTTGGTTCTAATGCCTTATAACGAATGGAATTCAAGTACAGGCCTAAATTGCTGGCCTGCAAATGAAGGGAGGAGAGCTAGAGTCTGACTATGTGAACACCACCACATGTGTTTTTGTATCCTCAGAAGAGGAAGACCAGATACATTAGGACAGGAGTTCTAGACAGTTTTGCAACTAACATTTTCAGAACTCATTAACTTTATTCAGTGCAATACCAAACTCTTCTATGCCTCTCTTTCCTCTAAACGAAAAACCAGCATCATGTTTGACTTACTTCAGACAGAAAGGATATTAAAGGGTATGTGGGAGGAGTACACAGACAGGAGAAAGAAGACTTTTAAGAAAATGTTTTGTTATTTATTTATTCTAAATTATAATAAATAAATAATAAAGACATGCAGCAGGCATTCAAATGGAGCTGTTTGCATGAGAGGTGAGCTTGAGTGAGCTGTTCTTTCAGGTATTGCTTTTGTGTAAAGACTGAAAGGGGTGGATAAGGAGTTCCTGATGAATTAAATTTTATTTATGGCTACTGTAAAAGTCAGTTCATAACATATTCTTCTCTGCAGTTCTTTCTTAAAAACTACCTAGATTGGTTAATTATTGCTAGTGCTGTCTTTATATATTTGCAGTTGCAGACATGAGTGATTTCCAGGTCTTAAGTCCAAGTTTGACTCCGTTTTTAAAAGTACACAGCCAGAGAGCCTTTTAGGTTTTCCAAAATGCTGCTGCAAAGCTGGACTGCAGCAAGAATGCAACATGCTGTTTCATTTCTCTACAAAAGTTTATGACAAATCATTGAAAATCCCAACAGTGTGAAGAAGTATTTCAAGGTAGATACAAATCAGCTTTTTAGAGAACAAGATGCAATGGCAGTTCAGTCAGCACCCAAAATTCACACTCTGCTCATGTTCCTGTAGCTGTCTCAGCATGATTATCTGTTGGAATCACTGACTTTTAGCTTACAGTATAAACTAGTTCTTTAATCAAGTTAAGAGTAACTGAACGACTGATAACTTTTGACTTGTTGGGTTTATTTCAAGCTGGCTTTAAATAATGGTATAGGAAAATAGTTGTATGTAAATTGTGTTATCTCAGTGAAGAGAAAAATAGAGAGTTAACAAATACATGTTAAAACCAAGAATAAAGGGCTTTAAAAAACTTATGTCCTACCACTTAACAGGATGGTGCAACTCTTAATGGGGCTCAGAGAAAACACTGATACAACTGAACAGTGGCTGTACCTTTAGGATTAGGGTGTTACAGTGAACTAAGCCATGCTATTCCTGGACGTGGTTAACTATTGCTGCATCTCCATCTTCTTCCTTAATGCTGGCACTTGTATTGCTGTATAGGGAGCTGATCCAGATGACTGTAGCTGCTCTGGCAGTGCCAGCATGAGAGATGCCAAATATAGGGGCAGACTAAGGACAACTCCCTGTACTTGTGGCACATTTACTCCTTAAACGACTTTCTGGTGCTAAAACTGCTTTGCTAGCATAGACACTTATGGTCAACAATTCCTGTTATAAGCAGACTACCTTAATAAAAGGACATGTCCTCCTGAAAATGATTCCTTTTATATAGGCTTTGAACCAGAAAAACACTAGAGAAACCATTCCCTTTCCACTGATGAAATGAGCATTCCCTGGAGCTACAGTTACGTTGCCTTTCATGTATATGGGGCTTCCTTAGCATTGTGTGAACTCAAAGAGCTGACTGTAAAGTCTAAGCCTGGGCAAAGGACTATGTCCCTACTAACATTTTTATACACGGTATATACAGTGGCAGTTGTAGCAGGCAGAGGGACCCTTCCAAGTAGAACAGCTCTGGCTTGCTCTGCAGCAGAGTACCAGGGAGTGAGGGAATGGGTAGGTGGAACTTTGCAAAAGCTAGATCAAGGTCATTGGAAGAACAAGTAGCTCTGCCTATCCAAGGCTGAGGCTGCTGCTGTTAAAATAGTAGCAGCTACAGCTTTCATGGTACTCGGATCTGAACTCCACTTCCTGGAGGATGATACAGCAGCCCAAACTGCAGAGAAATGGTGATGGGAGAAGGGAAACAAACAGGTAGGTGGGTGTATATTCCAGAGACCTAGACAACAACCCTGTCTTTTACTAAGAGGAAATATTCTTTAGGGGCAAGCAATAGTTCAGCTAAGCTGTTTCATTATCCAGTTTCTTCCATTGCAGCTCTTAAGTGCAATTTAAACACCAGTATTATCCTTCTAATTACTGTAGCAGTACCATCTAGCTCTTAAATATCCAAGAAGCAGAATTTTGACAACTACTTTAACTCTGAAACTTCTTTTTATACTATCTTACTGTACCATCATAAGCTAAAGGGGTGTTTTGGTTTGTTTTTAAAGCCATAGAAGAACAGAGTAATTTGTTATTGTAGCTGGAAAAAGACCTGTTTACTAAAACTGGCTCCCTCAAAAAATGAATGAAAATGACATAGAGCTGCACATGAAGGAAACATTGGGGTTGGGAGGGAGTATGCAAGTGTCAGCTGATTCATATTTTCATTCTTATGACTTCTCTTCAATAAAAGCAGTAGATTTTGCAGAACATCAACACCACTAGCCCTTGAATTTAAGCTTTTCAGCCTGTCTTCTAACATACTCGGGCATCTGTTTGAAACAGAGAACTGTACTTAAGTGAAGTACAATCAACTGTAGAATAAGGCCTTTTTTCACTCCCAAAACAGGCCATCTGTTATTTCTTGTGAGTAGGATTTTTTTTTTAACAGAGTGCCAGTATCGCTCTTGCTGCCTACACAACCAGCCAAGTGTTTGATTATAATCATACACATTCCACTTTATTTTAACAGCCGTGGTATAGCAGCTGAACCTGTGTTTGTTGGATACTGTGCCCATGAAGCAAGAGGGCAGTAACTGCTGTGAAGACTTCCAGTCAACAACCTGAAGTGCCTCTGGGGTATGAATATATGTACATGCAGTTTGATATTTGAACCAAGACTTAAAATTTTCACTTTTAAAATAAAATAAAGTTATTTGACATTCTTGTTGGAGTAAAAATGATGGTTTTTAGCTTTCACTAGAAATAGAGATTCTTCACTGTGAAATCCTGAAACGTGATACAATAGTTACCCATTCCAGTTTCCTTACATTCTAAATCTGAGGGAATATAAAGATAAGACACTAAAGAGCAAACTATCTTTTTATTTCTAAGTATCTTATAATTTGCCACTTTTCAAATTGGTTTCTAACAATAGAGGAAGTAATACTTACAGTTGTACAGTTTAAAATGCTTATTAACCATATTCTTTTGTTCAGCTCAAAACAAATCAAGATAACTGTGAAGTTACTTCATTTACAGACATAAACTTCACAATCTTTACTTAACTTAGTAAGAAACAGTCCTAATGGCACACTGAGGTGCACTTAGTGCTCATTTCTATGAAGATTTGCATCACCTCTCATTGCAGATATCTGTAAGGTAAGAATTTGCAAAGGAGCAAATTGTGGTTGCATCACTGGTTCAGCTGCTTTGCAATTACAAGGCTGTGCCAAAAGAACAGTCTCTTGAACCATGCCTTGGACAGTTAAAAGTATAGCTTTTTTTTTCTTTACAGCTGCTAGTTCATCATTTACCACAACCAGCTGGTCCCAGAAGAACTTACTAGTGTACATAAATAGGCTCCTGAAAATATTTAACAGAGAGGATAGAAAATATCTTTATTGTTCGAGAGAGTAAAGCAATCACACCAACCCCATCCTCCTCTGAAGAAGTGCACTTTGCTCTTGACTGTTCAGGGCTTGATAACTGGCAAGCTCCAAAGTGAAGGTTGCTGAGCCTGATGTTAGAGAACGCAAAACTGTTGAGTAGCCCTAGACAAAATGGAGAAGACGTGTCACTCAATTTACGATAAAAGCAAGATAAGTTATCACAGAAAGCTGTCAGACAGAGTCAGAAGTATACTGCAACATACAAATAAGTTATACTGTATCAGAATTGCAATACATGCATGAGTCAACCTAACGATATAAATTTTAAAAAACTATCCCCTGTAAAACCTGTTTTAGTAGTATTTACTACTTCTCTAACTTAGTTGAAAACATGCTGATTTTAACAATCTGAATCAGGCAGAAAAACACTACTGGATTTGTGGGCACTTGCTTCAGACCTTCAATAATTAAAATACAATAAAAAACATCCCTTCCAAACTTACTGATCCTTAACAAGAAAAGTGAACTGAAGCCTAATGATTTTTAATCATACAAAAAAAGATCAGATTTGTGTTTTACTATTAATAAGATAATCACATACCATCATTTCTGCTAGTGGAACAGCAGCAACCACAACTCTGTTATCTTGACGACTCTGGATTTCCTGAATGCTACCTCTCCGCTGTGCAAGGTCAGCGAGTGCTGCACTAAGATGGTCTTCACTTACTGTGATTTCTAGGTTCATCAAGGGCTCCAGTATTTGTATACCAGCTTTTTTCAAAGCCTACATGGAAGGGAGGGAGAATTATGTTGACTTTTTTTTTTTTTCCCAGAAAATTTACATAATAAGTACTTATGTAACTCAAGCTAACACTGCCTTTCAAATTCTCTAACTTCCAAAAGCTATAAAGTCCCCAGTAAGGGCATTACGCTGTCAGAGAAGAACAATTGCCAGATATGGATACACATATATTTTCCCAGTAATGTATCATACTGTGTTGTACAGCAGCTTACAATTTCACTGTACCTTTTGCATGCAACGGGAGACACAGGCTGATATCATTGTGTGGGAGGTGTCAGGATGCACCATCAGTGATTGCACTGTCACATCTATATCCTGAACTGGGAATCCAAGCAAGGGTCCTAGGGGGAAAGAAAAAAAAGAAAACCAAAACCTAAGAAAAAGCACATTTGTTTTTCAGAATATTAAGACACAGGCAAAAGAGTTTCAGAATTAATTTGGAGCTTCTCACTTTCCTCTTTCCCCTCTCCTTCCCTTTCCTCCCCTCAAGGGTATGACTACTGGTCTTGTTCCTCATTTTACGATTTTGTCATTACCTAGCTTTGCCAAAATAAATAAAGGAATGCAGACTCATACTTTCTTACTCTTTTTACCAAAAGCACAGATAATTTTCAGAACCAGAAGGTCCCAAGTATGCTCATCCATACAACTGTTCCCAAAAAATGGAGTTATTTTTTAATACATTATAATATCTAAAACTTGTCTATTGAAACAAGACCTTACTTGAAAAAGTAGCAGAAACCTTTTTGTTTAACCAGAAGTCAGAATACCTGCTGCATTTTCAACACAATATGATCACAGCAAAGCCTGATACTAACCTGCTATCAAAACTGCAGGGTTAACTCAGGGAACTGAGGGATGAACCATGTCTAGTGCCCTAGATAGGTTATCTCCCCCCTAACCCAAGACTCTCAGCCAGATCAAAAACTGTATTAAGACCAGATGGGAGGTCTGAATCACATCTGGGGAAAAAAATACATAGCTTTTTTCTTACAGAGAACATGGCTAGATCTATTTTTTTTTTTTAAGTGCTTCATGGCACAAATTTTGGGCTGGAGACAGCACAGTTCTGACATGTCTTCAAGGAGCATAAAGAAAGCACACAGTCAGGACTCATTCCACAGCCAGAGATGACAAATGTCTTTCAACTCAAAGCAACATGGAAAAAACACCTCATGCTGCTTCTACAGTAATTCTCATTTATCAATCCACTGCCTGTTAATTTTACTGTAAGGGAGAGTTCTTTGGCCACAACCTATTAAGTACTTCCTATTTTTAATCAAACATAAAAGGATGCTTTTAGTCCTTCAGAAAGCCTATACTTTGCAACTATGTAAGGCTTTCTATTGTATAATTCAATGGATTTAACTTACTTGAAAATCCAAAAAAACCACCAGTAACTCTAATAGAAGTGTGGTATGTACATGTTGGCCTCCAAAACCACTTCTGTCACATCACTGTGGTTTACATGATGTCATCAGGTAAACGCCTTCTCTCTTATACCATATTAAAAACAACCAAAAGAACCCTAAGCTCACTGTTAATTGACTGAGAAGAAATCAACCTTAAACCCAAAGGCATGCTGACTTCCATTCCTGGCATAGGGAAAGGAGTGTTTGGCATTTTTGTAGTTAAGGAAATGTCAAAATTTTCCTTTGCAGCTAATGTTAATACGTACTATCTTTTACTTTTAAGCTACCAAGGAGTTTTTCCTCCTAGAAACATATTAAATTGCTTCTTACAGAAATGTTAGACCAGTATAGCGGTCACAGCACTTCCCTTACCTTGAATGCATGAATTTGTGATTCCATTTTCTATAGCTCCTTGGAGTTCGTTGGGTAGCACTTCAATGACACTCGCAGCATACTCGATGACAGGCTTTGTCGTTGCTCTCTCCCCTAACCTCGGCCTCACCTCTAACTCTGCAGTTACAAAGTGTCGTTTATCTCCTACTGTTTTGTCCAGTGTATCTGCAGGGAAAAAAAAAAAAAAAAAAGGCAAAACAACCACTTAGAAAAAAAAAATTAATGCATAAAATTCAACTGAAAGTTACTTGTTCTATCATTTAAATGAAGCTACAAAACCAGAAACAAGATGTTTCTTCCATTTGCTCATTTCACCTGTAGCTTGGGCAACATTTAGGATGGTTTCTCTGTATGCTATCTGCAGAGGTCCCAAGTAAGTCTCAATTCCATATTCACGTTTGATTCGGTCATGAATGATCTCTATGTGTAGTTCTCCCATGCCACAAAGAATAGTCTAGGATGAAGACAGTTAAGAGAGGAGGCAGAAAACATGCAAAACTCAGGTTTTAATACAAACTGTTTAAGTAAGGACTTGCATGTTCTTAATAGTCTCTGAGAAATACTTTGAATTCTACAGAGCCTAGAGAGAAAACAGGACTGCTTTAGGTCATCTGACATAAACACCATTAAAGCGAGAGGGTAACTGCTGCCACTGTGACCACTATAAAATAGGTCATCTTACATTATCTTAAAGACTATGTAATTCAAACTTTTTTAAAGACAGATCTGTCAAAAACATGCAGAACACAGCAGGACTTCCTCTACTCTGTAAAGCACAAGTGCACAAGGCTCCATTTTAGTTTGACACACAGAACTTTGTACATATATGATACGAACATTTAGAGAGTCCTTTTTATTCAAGAAAATGTCAATATGTAAATTAACTAACTGAAGGGTGGTCTTGGCAGTTCTGAAATAAAGCTTGGTTATAAGCTGAGCAATAGATGATTCATCTTACTTGTCCTGTGTCAGGATCTAGCTTCACTTTTAAACTTGGATCTTCACGCTGAAGGCAGCTCAATGCGTTATCCAAGTCTGTACATAAATATCAAACATTATATCTAAAGAGACTTCAGTAATTTGAGAATCACAATGAATGTCTAAATATCACTTTCATCATAAGGTCAAATCTTATTCTCAGAAGGAATCAAAAGGTCCCTAGAAAAGCACAGATTTTGGCAAACAAAGTCAACCCAAATTGCAAGCAACTTGCAACTTCTGATCCTCTCCAACAAAGTAACTGCATGCTACAGAGTGCTTATTTAATTATTAAAAATACCAGAGTGATATTTTGTACTTGTATGAAGACAGAATGCAACCTGTAAGTGCTTCATGAAGTCAGTAAAAAGTACTGCTTCCTTTTTACAGATAAGAAAAAATTGTCAACTAACTCTTATATGATTTGCTTAAATATTTCAAGACGAGTTCAACATGAAAAGGTTCAAATTTTTTTTCTGACTCCTCGCTATCTTAACTGCTCAGGAAAGCAGCTACAGGAAAGCAGCTACAGAATGATAAACTCACAGCTGAGACTGCATTTATCTACCTTAGAATCCTTGGAAAACAAACAAAAAACCACAAAAAAACCCATGAAACAAAACATCCAAACCCCCCAAAACCGGGAACACATGACAACCCAGTAGCTCAGCCTGCAGATATGTTTCTCCAAATCTGCATTCTACCTTGCTCCATTCCATCATACTACACTGGTATTTATCCTTCCT